TTATATTATATTTCTATAGGTCTATATATACCGGTATGGCTTTATATAACTGTATAATAATTATAAATTGTTATATGGTAAATAATTTTCATGAATCAATTTTACATTATAAATAGATATAAAATTGAATTTCCAAAGTTTTAATTAAAATTAACATATCTACTAGGTAGTACCAGTCAGATTATTTACAGRCAAATCTTCAACTAGTCAAACTTGACGATAACGTGTCACTTCTGCTCTTGAAACCAAAGTTAACTTTCTTAAGCCTACTACATTTCCCAATTCCAATAAACTATCACTCAAGACTCAACGCTCAAGCTACTTCTTCTAACCAAAATAATTCCCACTTTTCTTCATACATCATTCCCTAAAATTTTTCTTATTTTTGAAGAAGTTTGATATATTTATTTTATTGCTTCTAGTCATCTAATGGTAAATTTATAACTGTCTTTATATTATACCTCAAAACAATGAACAAAGAATTATTCTTAACTCCTAAGGTACCCAAATTCTATTAATAATCTTCTTGTTATCCGTTGGTCACCAAGACATTGTCATCTATTTTTTTCCTTTTACATATGCATCAAAAAAGCTTTTGAGTAGTCTTGTATGACTATATCCAGTCAACGGCACTAACTATTGTACTCAAAACTTTATGAATATTTAAATTGGACATCCATATATACTTACTTAAAAGGATGTTTGCTGCAAGGGGTATACATTAATCTTATAGACTGGTTGTTTTTTATTACCTAGTAACAGTTGTAAGTAAATTTTTATCTTGATTATGAATATAAATTGACTTTTAATGATAAGAAATACCTATTGAAAATTTATGTTATAAGTATGATTGGAATTAATAATTATGACTTAAAAAAACTCAAAAAAATTGTTTAAACAATATTATTATATTTTTAAGTATTTTTCACTATACAATATATTATTATTGTGTTAAAGTTTGAAATTTCGATGCTTTACGCTGAGTATGAGTTAGAAAATATAAATAAATATTCTACAAAAATGTTGACATCGCGTGGCCTAAATTATTCATAAATAATTATTAATTACCAATACATTTATATACGTAAAATGTATAGGTTAGTTTATATATATTTAAACTATTTTACAATACATTTAAAATTTTAGGTATGCATTAAGTATATTTTTTATGAGCAACTGTTTATAGTAAAATATTTTATTTAATAACAATATTTATACTTTACATTATATGGTATAATTCATTTTAGGCTAAATGTATAAACATTGGTGTGTTTGATAGTTGATTATTTTAAAATTAAGTTTAATTTTTTTTTACAATTTCTTACTAAATACAATCAATCTAAAAAAAATAATATATAATATGTTTATATATTTATTTACAATATTAAGATGTTATGTATTTTAAGTGATGTAAACAAGTATTGGATTATGGTATGGATTTCTAATTATTTCCTTCAGTATCAATTTCGGGATAGTCAATTACTTTACGTGTTCTTTCTTTTATAATATTGTGTTGTCTTTGGTATATTCTGAATGCTCCTTTTACTGCAATGTACACTAACCCACCCTGAAATAGAAAAAAATATTATAAATGAACTTAATGAACACGAGTATTAATATTCATTAAATACTATAAAACACTTACCAATAAAGTTTTTTGTAAATATGAATATGAACTATTGTTAAATAATAAATTTCCAACTATTGTGGCAGTAGTTGGCAACAAAAGTGCAGCACAAAGAGTAGTTGTTGGATTAACGACTGAATTGAATTGGACTGTACTCGTTGAACTGTTAACAGGTTCACATCTAAAAATCAATACAAATGCAATTAATAATCAAATAATTAAACCATTATAAACATAAGTTAAGTAGAAATGACTTACAAAAACGAAGGCATGATGGTTCTTAACAAGGGTAGTTGTGAGGTAAATCTCTGCACAAATAACAACAAGGTTTCTTCCCAATTGATCGTTTTGCCTAAAATTAGACTGAGGGGTATTGATGGCAAAACCAAGAGTAACATATATGAATCTGTATTCTCCATCATTGTTATAGCTTCTCTTTCACCCATTACCTAAAAAAATCTTCATTTCTAACTTCTATATAAATAAATAATCTAACTAATCAAAATTAATTAACCTGCATCATCGTTATTGCTCCATAAGAAGCTGCTGACCAATATAGAGTGCTGACCACAACACCAGCTGCCAAAAAAGGACATAGCTGATTAGCTGTCTTATCAAGTTTGTTTAAAAATCGAACTAAGTAATCTGAAAAATGGTAAAACATAAAAAATAATTAACTAAAACATACTTACAATAATCAAATATAATAAAGAATATTACATGTTTTGATAGCAGTTTTTTTTTCATATCTTACTATTTATGACAATTAAAAATGTTTAGTCAAGTTATTAAATTTAGCAGGTTAAGATTAAAAATTCTTATATTAAAGTGAAAATTATCCAAAACAGAATATTTATACTTCAGGTAATGTAAAATATTTTTTCTATTAGAAATATATTATACAAACATTGAATTGAAGAAAAAAAAAATTTATAGTTCAAAAAAAAAATTCTTTAAACTTGAAGTTATTTTATTCCCATAAAGTTTTAACTACCATTAATTCTATTTCTAAAAGTTGGACCACTTACTGACTTCATCATATACAATAATATATTGTGTATGGCATTGTGGACAATGTGCTTTAACACTAAGATTTTCTTTCAGTTTTTCGTCAACCCAACGTTGAACACAACTCTGGTGAACCTAAAACAACAATTTTACTTGTGTGAATCAATACTATGGTTGAAAATACATTATTATTATAGTTTGATTGAATAAATCGCAGGTACATAAAACATTAATTGATWTAAAAATGTCTACTATAATATAGTTTGTTTTGTGTATAGAAAATGATAAGCGGCATCCTTATTACCGTGACAGGAAAGAAACCTTGAATGACCCGACAATCATTTGATACTCGCCTACATTCAATTAGATAGTATTTTTTTATGATAGTTCTATCATTCTATTCTTCAATAAAACTCATCTTATAAATTAATTGTCAATGTGGTTAAATTATTTAAACTAATCAAAATGGGATTATTTAACATGCTGACTACTGTGGGACTGATGGCAGTCAATCAAATATGTATTATCGGTAAAACAATCATGTTTTTGTTTGTCATTGTCATTCCAAATTTGTATTAACTATTAATTTTAAAAAATATAAAAAATATGTTCATTACATTTAAAAATTATAATGATTGATCGCTATTTCACTCTGCTTTTGCCGTTATCTGGTGTGGTAATACCTAATTATCAACTATAGGCGCTGGAGGTCATACACAAATAAAATTTGAGAATTACAAAGAACTGCCGGTAGTTACACAGCAATGTATTAAACAAAAATTTTCATTTAAAATGAAGTATTGATGAAGAGAATTTAATATGTATTGCCAAAGAACATATTGGGTTCTCTATAAAGTATTGTTGGTTAYCAATATGGATTTACAAATTTTATAGTTTGGGAGAAATCTGATAAAATTCTGGTATTTAGAGGTATCTTTATTTTTATTTTTATTTTAAACATAAGACATTCCTAGCTAACTAAATCTAGGGATATTTGATTTTTAGAGGTATCAAMTGAACGYCAAATAATTCAATTTTAGTATAGTATTCATTATACATATATAATATATATATATTAATTTTTGTCCCTACATGTAAATTCAATCCAAAAATATGATCGTTTGGGACACAAGGCATTCTAGATTAACATTTAATTAATTAATATAATTATATTTTTATATTTTATTCAGCTTATAATACATGATCTGTTCTTATGGAGGCTTTGGATAATGCATTTAATACATTATTCTTATAGTAAAATATAAAATATACCATATTTGCATTAATTATATTTTTATATTTTATTCAGCTTATAATACATGATCTGTTCTTATGGAGGCTTTGGATAATGCATTTAATACATTATTCTTATAGTAAAATATAAAATATACCATATTTRCATTAATTACTTTTAAGTAATCAACACTGCAGAAACAGCTACTCAAAACCTCCATTATTTAGTTTTTACAATATATTTATAAAAAATTATTTAATATTAAAAAGCAATATCTCAGTATTACRATATTTTAGTCTATTTGACTATAATAATATTATAATTAACACTCAAATGTAGTCAGTAAATCATACATTACAGTACTACATGATAACTATTTTGGCACAACAATTATTATGTAAATTAAATATWAAGAAAAATTACCCATCGTGTAGAACCGCGACATTTGCATGGTGACACCCAATCTCTGTTATTTTCATAGTCATCATCATCAGTACCAAAACAAACCCAACAATGTTTCGGCCTAGAATAGAGTGATAAACATATTGAAACATTATTTTACACTACATTAATATCAGAGATAGAATGAACGATATACAATTAATGCTAGGTTATATGATGAGTACGCTTAACATGAAAAGCTTTTTATGAAATAAACAGTATGGATATAAACAGAACCAATCAAAATGAATACTTAMATTATTTAAATTATTAATCAAACATTATTAATAAATGACTAGTGTCTTTGAGTTTTATTTGATGTACATTATCTACTATTAATTAAGTTCATATAAGAACATATTTAAATTGGTAACATCAAGTAGTTCATTCCACCTCTAATAATCAAACATAATAAATTTACTCAGATGRTTCTTGATTGCAGGAAGATGAACGTTGGCTGATATTTGAGTTTTCCATTTTTGTAAGATCTTAACTAGGCGATTTACTCAATCAATGAATTCAATAGCGTTGAAGACTTGAAGTATTTAATTTATAAGCTTATCATTTTATAAATATCAATTGAGTCACTTTGCAAAGAAACTGTTTTGAATGTCCAAAACACATAAAATTATAATAATATTATGGACCTATTAAATGAAATAATAAAATCTGTATCGTATAACACAAGGTTTAATAGGTGAACATAGTTCCTGTCAGTATACTTGTCTATGGTTCCTGTTATAGATAAAAAAAAAACGCAGTTTACCTGCGGTAAATAGTCTCGAAAATAATTAATACAGCTTGCAGGATTTGTTGATCAATTATTGTTCTTACTTTCTTAGGAACACTGAATAGTGGATAAATGTCAGGCATAGACGTATAATAGTTATCACATATTTTTTTTTATCAACAGCTGTTGTTGTCCAATCGGAGTTCCCTGTCACAAAAATAAAACAACATCGACCACGTCCGAATGATAATGATTTTTTTATTATAAAAAAAAAACCTCCGAAACCGAAAATTATGATATTACGCAATTACGCTACGAGTAACGACGCGAACGATAATGATGATGTTATTATCCCACTCTGCTAATTGTTATTTGTTTGTCGGTTTGGTGATTAATAATAATAATTTATTGTACTGTTCGGGAAGTGGGCAGCAAGGGAATAGGTCTTTCAACAACTGTCTCTGGTCGAATTAATGACGTTTTGAGCCTGCGCTGCATCAATATACGAGAGTTTAAAATAGTGTCACAATGAAATTAAAATATAACTAATTTCTAGATACCTAAGTAGTTAATGRCGACCGATGGGCACTAGCGAATTGTATTATAACTACCTACTCAAAATATTGCGACATATTAAAATGCCTCACATTCGAACGATAAAATGTACCAGTATAATTGTGCTAATTATCAACGTAGGCATACA